CAGCGGCGAAGAGCGAGGAGAAACGGATGTTTTTGCAGGCTAGGTTGCAAATGGCTTATTGTTTATCACAGGTCACTGGGATGGGGCAACAAGCAGGGTGAGTGTTAGACCAAATGTATCGGAGTCAGCTAAGAGAACATTATATTGAGAAGCAATGGCATGGGAAAGAAAAAAAAATACAAAAAAACACCTACATGTGCCCCCCTACAGCCACACTTCTGTAATTTTGTGGCTAAACACCCTCTCAAGGTTAAATATTACATATCTACGGGCATTGGTGAGTCAAAATCAATAACAAAAACAACAATTACGTTTTTTGATATTGTGACTTGTTTTTTCAAAGTGCCACCAATTTGTATACAGAGTAACTGTCGTCAATAGTTTACTTTCCAGTCGCATTTTCGTATTGAGAAGAAGAACGCTTTTATTTTTTCCTTACAAAATCTTTTTATAATCAAGGATTGACTTTACAGTCATGAGCTACCTCAAATTAGATAAGTTTTAATTATTACTCTCACACAAACCTGGCAGCTTCCTCCTTCAGCAAATTGTCATTACTCAACAAGATACGGACATCTAAAGGAAAAGGAAAGCAGGTCGAAAAAAAGGCCAAAGAACAGAAAATTACATCAAAAACGTTCACCCCTACCATTGAAAACTTCGTTGAACTCTCCTGGTGGGGCGTGTTTGATGAAATCAGAGGCAATCCGCACCTGAGATTTGAAGGAAATTGAGGTATAAAAAGCTGTATAGCTGCATGTGCCAAGACAGCTACTAAGGGAAATGTTAAAATTGTTCATACCTTCTCTGCGTCTGAAATGGGCTCATCATAGTCGGCCATTTTCTACAAGATTCTTTCACTTTCCGGAATAAAAACTCTGCAAAATTCAAGATGGCTGCGATTATTCCGCAAAAGTATCCCGAGGTATCATGGGAAGAGTAGTCTAACTTCCCCATCCGGAAATATCCAAATATGGGCATAAAATTTTATCGAGCCAGCGAGACTATTATTTTTGTTAGCGGTTATTTTCAATATGGAGGATATACGTAGTCATGAAACCATGTAAGACAATTGTAGCAACTTTTCCTGTTCATATTTCTTTCAGGGAAAGAAGCTGGAGATGTCTTTCACCACCATTAACTCTCTGCAAGATCGAGAAGCCATTCGCGTGAAAGCATTGGTGAGTTTTTCTAACTGATTGAAACTTTGCGATAGTCGACTGATCTTTTCTTTTCGGTCGACGTTATGACGACTAATGATTTATTCATTCTAAATGTGAACAATGTTTTTGTTCTTTTCGTCTCAGTTATATGATGGCAGTTTGGTTAGATGTTTTTCCGTTGATCCACATATCACTTCCTTTAATAACATTCATCATTTATTGAAACGAGCTTTCCAACTCCAAGGGTAAGTGTGTGAATTTAAACAGTAGAGTCGAAGTCAGTGTTATTAAAAGTTAATATGAATTGATTTGAAAAAATGACATCCTACTAAGCTGCAACCATTCATAAATATCATTTTCCAAAAATATGTTTTCTAATTGTTCATATTTTTAAAAAGTCGAGGGTATCTTTTCACAAGGGTGTTGATTGCGTTTGTGATGTTGAGGCCCATGTCCTAACTGAGGATTTGCTAATAAACATTTATTGGATGAAGTTTTTGTGATATCCAGGATAATCAAGGTCAGGGAAAGTGTTATCAACCGAGCCGAAGGCCAAGGCTGATAACAGTTACTGAGACCTTGATTCTTTAGGATATCACAAAAACTGAATTTAATAATTGTTTTATTATACATTGTTTTGAAGAAAATAACTACAAACACACTGTTGCAAAGAACCTGAATGGATGTTGTTATCGGAAATCATGCATTGCACGCGCAACCTATAGATTAGTCAGTTATCTGCTAGTAGATTACTAATTAATCTGTAGGTTGCACTGATTTCCAAAATTAGCTGTCAGCTCTTGGCCAATGAGAGGACAGGTAGTGAGTACAATGTATAATAGTGCTTTTTATGATTTATGTAAGTGATCGGATATTTTGCTGCTTAGGCAATTTATAATCACTCATATGGATAACAAAACCACTGCAAATTGCACCAATTAACACAAGTAGACCAGCATTCACCCACTGCTTGTTTTTGACATCTCCGGGTAATAAGTGAACAGTAGCTTCCACTTCAGACTGACTTTAGTCTATTGAACATCAGTTTGTTTGCTTTCAAAACACCTTTGGAAGCTGCTTGAAATAAAACTAACACAAACAATATGAAACATAATTATGTGTTGTCAGCTGAATTCATGTGCCTGCTTGATGCTTATTAGTTCTCAAACAAAATATTCTTTTGTTTTAGTGATTGGCACATTTGAATAATAGAAAAAATGTTTACAAACATAAGCTATCACTGTAGAGGGCTCTATCTCAAAGATTAATTTCCCTAGAAAATGTTTTATTCTTTATCTGCCTATAGTAAGCACATCATGGATTCCTCTTATAAGTGTGTCAAAATCTTGCGGTCAAATTTAGGTTTTTTCTCATGGGCGGAAATCTTCCCCTTTGTGATAAGATGGTTTGTATGTGTGGGAAATTTGATTTGAAACAAAATAATTTCTTGGGTTAGTTAATACCTAGCCTGAGAAAGGAGCCAACATTTTGCGCCACCACCACTGGTTTCCCCGCAGAAATGATGATGGCTCCTGGGTAGTGCTTTTGATTGGCTGAAGCAAATTTCCCACATAGCACAACCAGTCAGAAGCACTACCCAGATCTGGTTAGTGACGCATCATCAGTATGGATTTTCTGCACTCGTTTCTCAGATGTCATTTCAGAGGGAAACCACTGGTGGCGTTGCAATGTGTCAGCTGTTTTCTCAGGCCTGTTTACTGCAGATGGTGGGGATTCAGATCCCAAGAAATGGACCTACACTACTGTTCAGAAAGAGTACGGGACATAGAGTTCTTGGTGTGGCCTGTCTGGAAGCACATGTGAGAGCAGAGAGCCTCTTCTCTCTCCATAGCACATTTCTGTTTTGGTATAATCTTGCTGTTGCCTTTTAGTTTACACTCAAATATGTTTCTGTTTAATCTCGTAGAGACTTCGAAATATCTTACCAGCTTCCACAAACCAGTGAAAATGGCAAGAGACCTGATGTTTTCCTCTCTCTTACATCAGACTTTGATCTAGATGCTGCATTCATGACTGCTTCTTTACCATTTTTGAGCCTCAAGATTGAACCTGTTATCTGCTCAGGTGAAATTTGCATGATCCTTTTAAAGTTTGTCACAACAGTGTTTTTTTGGCAGTTAGTATGATTATTGATGTTCAGAAAGCACATCATCTAAAGCAACATGTGTTTCTGTTCTGGCTTGGTTTTAGTAAGAGTTGTTCTTATTGTGTTTGTTTCTTGTTAGACATGCCCTAGATTGAATTTTACAATCAACTCCAAATTATTGAAGATTCTTGTATGCTATTAAATGCTGTAGTCATGATGACAAAATAATGTGATATAGAGAATCACTGTGAAGAAACTGAGATGGGCATATGAAGGGCTATTTTTGGAGCCTTATGTTTTGCTGTTGGGCAAAAAACTCCTAATTTATTATCAAATTATCTTTAGGTATTATGATAATACTATTTAATTTTTTACTCAAAATCATCCCCTTTCGTCCTTTGTCATCTCAGGGCATTACTAATTTGAATTTTTGCAAGAACACTGTGGGTACCATGGATACAAAATTTCTCTTGATATTGATTTTGTGAGAAAAAGATATGAGAACCTTTTGGGTCCCCTCATTTATTTAAGGATTCTCTTCTCTATAAAAATAAATAGGCTCAAGATATCTCAGATTTCAATTTATTTTGAGTGAGTGCCCACTCACTTTTGAGGGTGTCTTTGTTTAAATGTAAATGGTATCCTGAAAGTGTACTGTATAATGTATGATGTTGTTGTACCAGTTGTCAGTATTTATTATTTACTTTTTGTGCATATAATCTATTCTATGCACAGACCTGCTATTTTTTCGTAAGAGATAATGTCAGGCGAGCTTATTAGAATAAAACTGTGGGTAATTTTTTTGGCTGCTAGTGCAACAGTGGGATGGATAAATGAGAAAATAGAAAGTCTGTGGAGATTTTTGAGAGCAACTTAAATTTGCTGTCTCCAGTAGAAGCAAATCACCATTGGCTAAACAGTGATTATCCTGTTACCATCATGTCAACTGCTTACATATCATGCTTGTGTCATGTGGCTTGCAGCATTTCTGTTTTCTTTAACATGCTTGCCACATTGTGTCACTTTTCATAATAAAGCCCAATAAATTGATTGTAACATACTGGCAACTTGGGCTTAAAATTAATGTAGCCTTGAACTACAGTGGAACCTTGATATAACAAAGGGCCAAGGGACTGGCAAAATATGTTTGCTATAATGAGATTTTGTCATATAAGTTTTTTTTGTCATATAGTTCACTATTACTGGGGAAGATAGAATTGTGTTATACTGAGGACTTTGTTATACAGAGGTTCATTATATCAAGGTTCCAGTGTATCATAATGGAGAGCATGCTTGATGACTGCTGATGGAGATTTTCAAGGTGGATTCTTTTTTCAAAGTGGAGCAACAGCAAGCTATGTTAACCTTAATACCATAACCTTAATCGAGGCTTAAGATTTTGTGGAAGAGTGACCCATATGAGCTATACTTCTTTTGTTTCTGATAAGGTTTTTTTTTTCTGTCACAGATGAAGGTCAAAATGACTGGACATTCCTTGAAGCCACTGAAGCTCCCCTGACAAACAATGTACAATCCACTGGGGTCTCCACAAATGTGCCTTTTCACATATCTTTGAAACATCAGATGGAACGAACATTCAACAAGATAACCAGAGCATTTGGTGAAACAATCCGACGGGGACCTTTAAGGGAAATTGAATGGCAGTCTCATTTGGACTCTGAAGGTAGAGTGCTTGGTATTGATGAGTTATGGGCCAGGATATTCCAAGGAGGTGGACTTGAGCCTGGTTTACGTAAAGAGGTCTGGCCTCATCTCCTAAATGTGTTCCCCCCTGACTTGACCAAAGAAGAGAGAGAAAGGCACTTGAACATGAAATCAAAAGTTTATGAACATCTTAAATCAAAATGGAAAGCTCGAAATCACAAAGAAATAGAATCCATTACCCATCTAATAATGAAAGATGTGTTGCGAACAGACCGTGGGCACCCTTATTTTTCTGTGCCAGATGATCATAAGCACATGGATTCTTTGTTTAACCTGTTGACAACTTATGCCTTAGAAAATCCTGATGTTTCTTATGCCCAAGGAATGAGTGACCTGGCAGCACCTTTGCTAGTTGTCTTTGATGATGACTCGGTAGCATACACCTGTTTTTGTTCTCTAATGGACAGAATGAAAGGACATTTTCTGTTGGATGGGAAAGCAATGACAGTCAAGTTTGAGCACCTTTCTCAGTTGGTCCATCGCATGGAGCCAGAACTGTTCAAGTATCTTATGAATATTGGGGCAGATGACATGTTTTTCTGTTATCGCTGGCTTCTTCTTGATCTGAAGAGAGAGTTTCCATTTGAGGATGCTCTGCAGTTGATGGATGTCACCTGGAGTTCTATAACACAGCCATCTAAAACCAGCTCAGCTGGTGGGGTGGCCAGAGTGAACTCAGCGGCAATCCTCATGCAGAATGGCTACTTTGGAGAGGATACCAGTGATGGTGTAGAGCAAGATTCAGACAGTGATCTGGAGGATAGTGCCTTTTGTCAATTAATGCCAAAATCTGTGGATCAAACAACAAAACTGCTTCCATTGCCAGGCCCTTATCAACTGGGTGATGGCAATCCTTTTGTTCTGTTTATGTGCTTGGCCATATTATCACTTCACAAGGATCACTGCGTGCAAAAACAAATGGATTACAACACTCTTGCCATGTACTTTGATAAACTGGTGCGAAAGCATGACCTTTCTAAAACACTTGTAAAAGCAAGAGCTTTGTATGCTGTATATTTGAGCTCATTTGGAGATGCTAAGTGTGTTGAAACACCAGTTAAGGAAGATTCTAAAGCACCATGGTGTAGTCAAGAGCAACTTATTGATGTTCCACTCAAAACAAACCATTTTGTAGAGTGTTGATGAACGGTGTGGAGTTTTAATGATGGCTTCACTTAGATGTCAGTAGATGCCTGTTGATTAATAATTTAAATCTAGTGCTAGTGCAGCTTGTTTGTAGTAAGTGAAAGATATTGTTCCAATTTTCAATACTATTTTATGGAGGTTATTTCTAACTTCAAGCCAGTCCTACTGACTGGTATCTTGATGTCAAAAGATGAGCCAATATATATTTTTATTATAAGAGCTATTATTGAGGGCCACAGATTTTGCCTCCTGGCTATTTTGGTAGGAAAATGATATTGTTTGACAAAAAAAGGAAAATAGGAACCTTAAGATGTGATGATGGCAACGGCAAGGATAACTTTAGCTTAATATCCTCTATAAAAGGTGAAATTAGGCATTATTTTTCCCATTGTAGCAGTGCAGTGACGGCAAAGAAATGCACAAAAAAGTGTGCTTCATTAAATTTCAGCTAATATAAAATTTAATAATAATAAAAGTGGCACAAGGTGCTCACTCCACAGCATATATGTTGGGAAAACCTTAAATTTTTTTGTTTGAGAAATCTCTATATTATCTGCAGAAATTAATGAGCTAAGAAGCAAATTTACAATATTCTTGTTGGTGACTAAATACTATTCTGCTATTTTAAATGAAAGAAATAGGTTAAAATAAATAATTATTTTGTCATAATAGGAGCCAAAAGGGATACGAAACTATAATGTTAATAATAATTATTATTTAGCTGATTGATTGATATTATTTATTCACGGCATTGGTCTTAAGATTTCTTGATCATGTATTATGAGTTATGGAAAATATACACATGAATAATGTGAACCTGTAATTTTTTTTGAAAATGATACACTTGTTGACCTTGTCCTCAGCTATCCCTGGGTAAGGCTTCTTGGGGGTGGGAGGGGTGGGGGTCTTTTCTGATTAGCAGGTAACCTAATAAAACGTGATGTTTTGAGATGATGTCCAGTGTCTCGTTTATCCTTCACTCAAGAATCTTTATTTTTAATGTGAAAACATTTGGTCACTTGCCAAACCTTATCTTTAACGTTTGGCACATTTTTGAGGCAGTACCTGTTGTTAACACCTACAACCAAGAGAAAACATAAAAGGTCCATATATGTTCCCTTGCTACAACGTAATGGAAACAGTAATATTAGTGCAAAAAGGTTTTAGGTCTTCGCATCAAGTTAAAAGCCACACATGCAGTTTTTTTATTTTATATTAATACTCCTCCAAAAATCTCAACTGAAACAACTGGAAGCGCATCTCTCCAGTTGCTTTGCGCAGCAGTTTAATATTCAAGGCCGACGTTCAAGTTCCCGATCGTCGAGTGAATACGGTCTGTGATTAATCTTGGAACGTTTGCACATTTTGATGGAATAATACGCAAGTTGTATTGAGAACAGCTTAAAGTGAAAATGAATTAAAAGGTTGAAAACCTGACGCTATCCAGACCACAGCAGATTGGACTTTGATGGCCTGGAATGAACACCGTTCACACTGCCATGAAGAATGTCACAGAGACTTGTCCGATAGGTAACGCGATACACTTTGAAGATCAGTGCGGCGCACCTTCGGTCAGTTATAGAAACCGCTTAGGATCACCTTTTTTCTGTGTGAACACAAGTCCTGTCTTGTTGCAGTGGCGGATCTAGGGGAAGGGTCCGGGAAGTCAAAAACGGCTAGTTTTGCTATTTCAATAACGCGGAAATCAATATTTTAGAGTCAAGGGAGTGAGGTCTTGCCTCTTTCTGTGCTCCTGGGGGTGGCTAGCCCGACAACAGGCTGACTAGCCTCTCAGCAGGCTCACTTTCCACGTTTATGCCCGGGTGGGGTTTGGGCGTGGTTACAGGTAGAGTTGAACCATATGCATTAAGCCTGCGAGGTTACGTGTCCCATTTCCACACTTTAGGCTCGTTAACTCGACTCATGTCTATAAACGGTATTCTCCAGAATCCTTTTCTGCTTTCTTTCTCCTAATTTAAGCAATGACGACGACGACGTCAACGAGAACGGTAAAAAAGCAAAAGGTTTTAGATTGGCAAAACCGACAACAACTCCCCCGCGTTTTTGTACATTTCTTTGCCGTCACTGCATGACTACGAAGTGAAAATGCGTAATTTGACGTTTTGTGGAGGACGTGAACACAAGGCAGCGACTTTTTTCTTCTTTTTCTGCTTCGATCACTTAGTTTTAGAATTCAACTCCAGAAAAAATTGCCAAGAGTTGACGAATTGAATGAGATGTAGGATAAGCGCGATCAAGTTTGAAGCAACGCAACTTCGCTTTTTAAGCGACGTTTTCGTAGGCGTCGCCGTCGTTGTTGGGCGTCAATTATCAGCCCGCGAGACCCTGTATTCTGCAGTTAACTGCAATTAACTTCCACTGAAACCTCTATAAAGACGGACACATTGAGTTGATCCCTGCCTTAGTTTAAGTTAAGTCCTTGTTCTTTGGCTCTTTTCAAGAGTTAACTATACTAACATGCTTCTATTCCCACGACAAATTCCTATGCCCTATACGCCGCCCAAAATAAATAAATGTTTCGCAATATGAAAATTTGTCGCCACCGTGTAGCCAAATTAATAACAATGGGCGACAAGTCCTTAAAATATATTGCCATAGTCTTTTGACCCTTTGACTCAGTTGCACTTATACTACATCCTACAAAAACTGATGAGCGACTCAGTTCTTCTAATATATATAACTATATACGTTAGTTGACTGGCAGAAAAGTAAAGCAAAGTATATTTTTGGTCTGCTCTTATATGTTTGGTTTCATGATAACTGCTCTGTCACATCAGATATGATAATAGGTCTACTTTTGTTTCCGTTGTTTGAACAAAAATGACAGAAGACTCCATGCAGTTAAACGCTTTTATGAGGCTTTTTATAATTTTGTGAACATGTTGTCACGATTCAAAACGTTATTCCTCTATCCTTAATTTTCCTTATTTTTTATTGGTTACTTTGTGTCATTTTCAAAGTAAACAACGTACACAGAAGATAAATAAACTTTGACTGATCAAGACGCTCTTTAGAAAATCCGTCAAATCGTTTAAAGACCTGAAACTAAAATAATTAGCATAAGAATTAACTGCCGGCCACACTAAGGCCTCTTAGTATTTGCATATGAATGGATATCTTTGACATAACTGCAGACAATCGGATCACCCTGAGTTGTGGATATGAATTTTAAGAATATTATCTCTTCTCTGTGATTTTACAAAAACATACTTTGTCTGTATTTGGTAATCATCGATTGCTAATGCGGGCGACAGTTTGCAAACACGTAAAGCATCTGTACAGACAGATAGTTCTTACTGTTAGAACGCAAAATGGAAAAATGGAAAATTTTACTAACAAAAAAACCACTGTCGAAAAACTTGACGTCGTCAAGACAACTGTTTAGCCAACGGCAGCTGCTGTGAGCTGGGAGAGTTTATGTTTCTTAGTTAATTTTTATACTGTTCAGTATTGTAATGAGCCCGCAGCTCTCGCAATGTCTTGTTCAATATTTAGGCGTTACTCGAAAGGTCGTCGATTTTTATACGAAAGTGAGGTACAACAACTTTCCCAGTGCGAAGAAAATGACAAACGAAAGGTAATTTCAAGCATCCCAGTCGATAATAACTATCGAGCCTCCCTTGCGAAAACGTCCAATCTAAACGAAACGCTTTCTAAACTGCAAGAGTTTGGCACGGGCGTTTGCCGGATTGAAGTTACTCATACGGATGGCCTTGGGTACGTTGGAACCGGATTTCATTTTGGTGATGGATGGATTGTGACAGCCGCTCATGTCCTTCGAAATCGCGATAAAGTTAACAAGGCAATATTTGTTTTCTTCCCGCCAAAAGGTGAAATTTCGTTCGACGCAAGACCTCGCAGAGCTATTATTCATCGCTTACTTCCCGTAGGTAGAAGGCCAGATTATCACAACAGGGACATAGCTCTTGTCAAACTTGGCATCCAATATAGCTATGGGCGAAAGAAAAATGATATAGAAGAATGGGAAATAGATGAACAACAACTTCTCGAGCAATTCAGCTTGTTCAATTTCTCTTCACTTGTCGAAAATGCGTTTAATACCAATGGTGAAGTCAAATTCAGCTTGAGGTCCTCTGATCCGCTTGCTGCCATTCATTTCGGCGGAATTCAGGATGGATTCAAGAAATTTGCATTCGACATGGCAGTAGATGAGATGTACAAGAACATGCCGTTTAAAGTGATCAACTTTGCTTTTTCTGTTGGAAGTGGAGCATCAGGCTGCCCTTTGATTCAGCTCGTGAATAGGAGATGGATCCTCCTGGGTGTGATGTTTGGAGGTGTGTCTCACGAAGATGAGCAAAGTTCATTGATCACAGGTCAAGCATTGCTGTGGGACCAAGAGGTTCTTCAACACATAGAAGCTGGTTTGAAAAACATTTCCAAGATGTCAACATTCAAGTCTTACGATGTGCTTATTCCATTCTCCGAGAGAGCCCAGCTACTACATGAAACAAACGTCAAGGAAGTCGCAGATCTGGCGGTGGAACACCGCATCTTAATTGTGTAATTCATGCGTGCAACTCTTTTCGCGTAACTGTGGGACAGAGAAAAAGAGTATAAAACAAATAGTTTTTATTTGTATGATCCGTTCTTGAACATGATGATCTGTTATTTAGTCCAGTCTAATTCACCTTTACTTTGAGTAAAAACGTTATTAAATCAAGGTAGCTCTAAGTTAGAACGCCCTATTAGCGTAATATTTTGGAGACAAATGTAATTTCGACACAAAGATAGGTTGAAACTTGAAGAACCACGAAAACAGGCACAAGAAAATAAGTAATTATAATAAAAAAATACCAACTTGGGCACAGCTTTTTATGAAACTTAGACAAGAAACACTGATACATTTAAAGTACCCCACTGTGAGAACATCAATTAACGGCACGCGCACGAGTAGCTGTTAGAAAACCAAACCATACTACCTTGTTGTGTTTGTTATCGTCTAGATGTTTTTTAAACCGTAAATTACAATTTATTTGGCTGTCCGCTATGATCTTCGTCGATCCTTAGCGCCTGCGTTCGTGTTAATTAACTTTGTGGGAGGTAGGCTCCTGGAGGTACCTATTCTCAAGCAGAGATTTGTGGTAGACCCTCTCTGTAATACGGCAGACATTTCTCGTCACACAAAGTATATCAAGATAGATTGCACACAGTCCTTGTGTTTTAATCTATTTTTCATTTCAACATATACAAACGACCCAGATAGGATAAACACTCGAAACATAGGGGATTTAACTGCATCGCAACCGCTTCGCGGCTCGCTCTCTCTTTTGCGAAGAACAATTTCAAGAAAAACATCTAGGACCAGGGTACCCTTGGTGAGCCAAGGTTTCATACATATCCTCAGAAAATAACAAGTTGAAGAATTGTTTACATGAGGAACGAAACTGAGCTCGCTTGGCTAGACGGTCAAGGCGGGACAAGCAAAGCTGCGCAAGTGCTACTGAGAATCAATTAGCTACTGTACACGTGATGAATGGGTGATTCCTTTGTTTGTGCTCGTGCGCGTTATTTTCAGCATTTTTTCACGGAAACTGGCTCCATTATCTGTTAGTTATGTTTGGGTATCTAGCACTCAATAGATTACGGTTGTCGCCACAAAATTTCAATTCGATTAAAACAGCCCATCTAATGTCCAAAAAAACTTGTGCGAGTGCCTCAATATAGAACCGCGTTTAATTGTTTAATTAATTAAGTTTAATGATTATTACGTCATAATTACATTTCATCCATAGATTCAGTGTACGCAGTAGAAAGCTACAGGGAGGTTTCGCTATGAAGCCTTCCTTAGTACTCAGAGTATTGTTGCTTGTAATGCTGACATTGAGTCAAAATGCGGAGTGTCGCCCAATAAAAGGTAAGCGTTCCTAGGATTGTAAATTATATAACAAATATAATACGGAGTTGTTGTAAAAACGCAAGTGCGTTACAATTAATTACAGTAGCTGATCTTGCTTTGTACGGACAAATAGTCAAAAGTCAACTTTTGTCATATATTGATTGTGAGGAATTTATGAAAAAAATATGAATAAAATATTTTGTTTGTTACGACCCTCTTAAAATTGCATTATTTTTAGAGTGCATCGTACTGAGTGACTGATATAGAACCTTATATCCATAGTGCAGTACTACTTTTTAAGCCTTTTAAGTCTTTATTGTCAGTAAAAATACATACCTATATTTACATGTTTTGTATTATTAGTTAAAAAGTAAAAGTACATTTAAAATACAGTCTATTAATAAAAGCACTTGAACGGTGCTTGAAGTGTTGTCTAGTCCTGTTAAATTCTAAACAAGCTGAACCCTTATAGTTTACCTAAAAACTTAAATTGTTCAATTCTTATAAAGTACGTCCATTTACAGCGCCACAAGATTTTGGATCAACAAGTATTAAACACGAGGAGGAGTATTTTTCAAAAGGGGAGCTCATTAATGCACCAGATTCTGAGGAATCTTTTTCCTTCCAAGACACGAAAAAAGCGGAAGTTCAAGAGATGACTGCAGAGGGATCTTCGTCAGGTCAATATGTAGCCTAAGTAACGTTTGATTTGTGCAAATTATATAAAAATTAAGAAACTGGGAATAAACTGAACCAAGGCTCAGCTACAACTCTGTAATTCACAATCAAACAATAAAAAACAAGCCTTGCACTGAACAAATTTTTTCGATACTCAACTCAAAATTACACAAAGTTGATACGCATGCACACCTATCGGCAGAGTGCTCAATAGAAGAACTAGAGCGTGATAAAACGATGTGATCTGATCAATGTAAGATCTGATTTGGTATCTACTACTAACTAGTTTCGTACCGCACACTGAACATGTGCGGCACTCCTCCTCAGATAAAATCAGTGCCAAACTCAATATCTCTCTAAATTATCCCACCATACTTTTCGCGGTTGGAGAACCATATATAGCTGCTCATTACGAAACTTACTTTGATAATTTTTGTGCCTATGGGCTCCTTCGAGGTCCGTTGAAATCAGATTAATTTTTTAAGATAAAAAAGTAAAGGCTACAAAAATATTTCATAGAAACTATTCTTATAGGTGAGAGGGGTGAGAGTCAGCTAAAAAACTTCCTTAGATTGTCCACACAGAGTCGACGGAGTCTTAAGTTTACCTGTCCATCATCGTTTAACACTGTGAAGGCGACTCATACCCCGTAATATTGTATGATACTTGAACAAGTTATTTCTTATTACAAATTAAATTCCTTTTTAAATTGAACGTTTAGGAGATGAACTTGAAGATACGGAGACTGCAGCTGATGCTCAAAAGAGCAAAAAACAAAAGTCAACAGGAAGAGTTAATGTTGAAATTATTGACAGACCAAAAGAACTGAAAGTTTTTGTGAACAGATCTCCGTCGAGCAAAAAGAAATCTGCTACAAAAGAAGGGAAGAAAGGCTGGGAAAATGTTCAACTTGAAATGTTGAAAGAAGGAAAGAAAACATCGGTTGATGAGGAAGGTGAGTCAACATAGAAACGTTGTTTTTTTGGTTTTTATCCGTGATCTAGTAACCCAGCTTGAGGGGGGGGAGGGGGTACTCTCTATAGCGGCCTTTACTGGGAGGCTCCACCCCAAAGGGGTACCTTTTTCAGGTATATGAAAGGGTTGGAGTTTCACTAGTTAAAGTACATGAAAGGGTAGGAAAATCCGTCATTTCGGTCAGTAAAAAGGCCCAGAAGGGCTAACAGCTGCATTTCATTTTATGGCTACGTGGAAGTCGAAAAAAGGTTCTGGTTTTGTGGTTTATTCATATTTAAAAGACAATACATTTGAGCAGTTAAGAGGGGTGAAAGGGATACCATTTGTCAATAGAAGGTATAAGAAAGGGGTACCTTTTTTGTCAAAAATGCTATATAAAAGGGTGAGGGGTTAGACCGCAGTACCAACGGGTCTTGTACCAAGAGATAAAACGCGGAATCATATCTGTTCACATGTTGTAGCTTGTTCTGTTCCAATAAACGACGTAAACTTTTGACAATTTAAATAGTTGAAGTGTATTTTGGAGACACCTTCATAAACGCGTTTTGAAGTGTCCTGCGTCACGTGATTAAACAAGACATGTACCAAAATTTTTGAAATCCAATCTTTCTCAATTCCTACATAACCAAAGAGAAATGTAAACCCTTTCCAATTTTTCAATGGGGCGAACGAACTCAAGACCTAGAATAGCCCAAGTTTCTGTGAGTTTTTTAATTCTATCTGATATGGCTCCATTTTGACAAAAAACGTCCAAAACAGTGAGTATTTTTTAGAGTTCCATCATAACTATTTTTGTTGGTCTAGACTTGGATGCTATGTTTGCTGCCGAAAGTGAAAAGTATAATAAAGAAGATTTGGATGATGAGGATGAGTTCGATGATGACAGTGGAGATGACGCAAGCACGGATTTCGTGAACTCTCCTGCCATGTCACGTGATGACGGTCATCACAAGAGACTCAACAGATTTCGGCATGCTCATCATCATCAAAGAAAGAGACCTGAGTCGAGTTCAAGTGGGCTTGGTATCCTGTGGTCGCTGGTCGTTATTGCCGTGGTGTTTCTGGTTATTGCAGTTGTGTTCCTTCACAGGTAACATACCGATAAATTTGTAACAGATTTGGAGGGAAAGAAAATTTTATAACCCTCAAAGCAGATTATTTTCCAGTTGATTTTTGAATTGAATGAAGCAGTTTGACTTTATCATCATTCGTCCTAAGCAGACAAGGAGGCCACCAGGCTAAGAAGGACAAGGCTATGCTGCACAGACATCCTATCATTAAACGAAATCATCTCGGTAGTTTTGTACTCCTGCGTGAGGGCCCTCACAACGAAAATGGAAAAAGAGAAAGTTGGGAAGGTGATTTGTACTGGAAAATCCCCTCTTCCCCCCACCCCTTTACCTGCTTCAAACACCTTCCACGATCCAGTACAGTAACTATAACATAAATTTTGTTGAGACTGGTAGCGAACTATCACCCTGCTGTAATTAATAGACTGTAAAACTAGTTACAAAACGTCAGCCTCCCTCCCTCCTCCGAAAAGGAGGACTTATTCTCAGGCTACCCCACTTCTTTGTTTCTGCTGTTCTGCCTCTAGTTCAACCGAGGGCAACAGTATTACAAATAGAGCAAATAACAAGATAAAATTGTAAAAGTCATCATAATGTACTTACAGATGTTGCACTCGTGGAAAAATGCGAGAAGATGTGGAGCTGGAATCTATTAAGGTGGAGGACAATCGGGATGATGCAATAAAAGAAGCACGCATGAAGGTTGGCAAGAGAAAATCCATGGAGAATCGTAAGGTACTGAGGAAGCAAAGTATGGATCAGGGAGCCACAACTGTTGAGGAGGAGCTGGCCATCGCTTGCTCAATTATTTCCCCGAGCATGGAGACACGAAGACGGAACTCTGAAGCTTTGCATACCAGAGCGGTGAGAACTTCTACAACATCATGAATAAAAATCTCTTAAAACCTTTAGCTAAGGTCCGGCGGCGGTACGTTGGGGGACACCAAGTATTGTCTGCAAGGACGTAAAATATTTTTTAAATCTCAAGTAATATTTTACTTTCAGTTTTTTACGCTGCTTGGATTATTGTACAAATTTTCTGCTTTCTTATTGACAGAGTGTGCGCGCAGCTACTTCTCGCCGCAACAGTACCTTCGAGGAGGACCTGGTGAAAGCTTGTGCTGAGTTTGAGCATGCTCCTACAAAGTTTGCCCAGCTTGTCAGTCAAGCAGGAGATGAGAAAGACAATGAGGCAAGAAAGGGCAACGAGAAAACCGAAGACAAGTCAGTGGATGATACCCCTGCTGATGTTGACTTCGAATAAGGTAAACTACAACTGTGTTTCCAGTGGGGTCTCTCTATTTTGCATCCCTTGTCGTCGAACGAGGACAAGAGAGGCAAAGAGATACTGGGCGAGAGGTTGAGGTACGCTACACTGGATGTGTATATTAAGTTAAAAACTTAATTAAAATGCTTATATTAAAAATAACTTGTCAAGCTTCACAGTTGACTAGAAATTGCTACAAATACTTGAAAAAGAACTTCTTTTTGCTCTGGCTTGGCTGGGAAGAATCAGAGGCTGTCGTTAATATTTCCTTTCTTTTCAGTTGACATTTCAGTTAATTTCCTGTATAGAAATGGATTAGTTAGCTTAAAACATTCAGGTTTTTACCAACCCTAATCAGTTTTGTTTTCCTTCTTTTAGGATTTGATCAGTCACTCTGGAACACTGGATCAACGTTTTAATAAATAGTTACTCTTCATGTCTTCAAACGTTTTTGGCAGGGATTGTACTCAATGGAATGTTTTTTTCTGTTTCTACACTTTTAATCCGTTGCTGAATTTCACTGAAATAAACTTTCATCCTGTTTAAACATTAAAAATTTTTATACCAAAGCTATCATGTCAATGAATTATTGGTCATATGAATCAAAATTTCCTTCTTTACCATCGAAGAGAAAGAAAGAAAGAAAAATACTGTTTATCTTAAACTGAATGATTTAATAAACGGAGACACATTCGTCAATAACTCGGGGTCTGATCATTATTTTTCACGTCGTTTTCATCCACTGAAAGGTAAAAAAAAAGAAAAAGGAAGGGACTCCTCCCAAATGCTGAGGGAAAAGCCCTAGGCGCGAGCTTGGACAAAGAATAGTTTTACTTTTTAGTCAAAGAAACGGTTCGTAAAGTGTTTGAAACAACTTCCAGCCAAACTGCCTCTCCCCCTCCCCACCTTAACCCCCACCACACCCTTCTTTTCTGTCACAGGACGGGGAAGCCTGGAACGGGCAATATGGCGGATCAAAGAAAGCAGGATTTAATACTTGTCGCCGCATTTCAGAACTATTCCGTATATTCCAGTCGATTTTGTTCCTAGAACAATGGAATTAAGACAAAGTGATAGTTGTGATATCTCGCAATTACATTACAAAGCAAAGCGCTGTTTGGTTCTCCGTAATTTTGAGGATGCACTGCAGATTTGTTATGAGGTGCTTGACTTGCAAAAGATTGATCACAGATCAGCCCCTTCCAGCAACTCTGTCAGGTGAAAATCCTCCTTAAGAAGCGGAAATATTTAACTTGCAACTCTTAATATGACTTCTTTGGCAGTCAAGATATTTGACAGTCAGTGTTATTGTTAACAAGAACAGTTCCTAATGCAATTTCTGTTTATGTAAATAAACATGAACAAACAAACAGAAAACGGGATTACACTAGCACACACGAAAAAAGCAAGTATTTAGCAATGTGAAGGGTTTTGTATTTACTTAAATTTGTCCCACAGGAGGGGAAGCATGTTAACATCCAATCAGAAAGCACCAAATTAAATGAGGTGATGATGCAGCCCACTATCTGAACGCCTGGACAGGTTAATGGTGCGAATGTTTAGGCTAGCATGCAATACTCCAGGGATGATTCTAACAAGCTTTTATGGCTGTAATTTCTTAAAATTGTTTCAGATCTAGCCAGAGTGAGATAAAACTTAAATTGTTAATTTAATTTGAATTGAGTTGTTGAAAATTAAGCAGCTCGGCACTGGACCATATATATTTAGTACAATTAAAACAGTCCATGTGTAACTTAAAATGTGATGCCTTTGGTGCTAAGAAATGATGCAGTATAACATACCCCATCCTGCTTTTTGAAAGTGAGAGGGGAGACTAACAGATAAATCAATTAGTGACACCCAATCACACATTTTATTTTCCAGTTTGTTTTTCTCTTGAAAATAGGGATTCATCTGAACAATGTAGAATACCGTTTGTGGTTATTGCAATTCAGGCCTATGCAGAAATCAACCAAAGTCAAGCAGCTATTGACTTTGCAACGAAGGTGTTTGGAAATATTGAAAGGTTTCCTTCAGAGGTGCTGAAGTTATGGTGAGAGCATGTGTGGTTATATCACTCCTTGATTAATCCTTGAGTGCTTCTCTTTAGTGAAGCATTCTTTTCCCTTCACCTCCCCCTCCTCCACATTTTAGTAAAACCCGAAAGTAGAAACAGCTTGTAAGCCACATAATGTTTTACCCAAAATATTCTGCTGAGAAATGTAAGTCACCGCTTTTTGAAGATACATTTCCTTGAATTACCTGTTTACAAAAATACTGAGGATAAAAAACAATATAAAATCTGTAAAACTAATTGTAATAATTGTGAGTTTCTTTTGATGTTCAACAGCATTTGTCTTCTCATGAAAGCATCAAAACATGCAGAGGCCGTTGAAGTTGCTGAGAAATGGCTTTGTTTTGAAGACAACTTCAGCCAACAAAATTATTTGGAAATAACAGAATTTTACATAAAGCATGTTTTGCTTCCTCAAAATTTGAATGAAAAAGTTCAGCAGTTTTTGGAGACAAACAGAGCTCTTACTCCTGAACAAAGACAGGTATAAAAACTGAAGCAAAATAAATTTAATGTACCTTGTTATTGCCCTAAATATATACAGTAATAAACACAAGGAAATCACAACTGTCCTGTAACACAAAAAAAATGTTAAATTACCAAACATTTGTTTCAAATGAAAAGACCTTTCAGTTTATATAATACAAAAATATCTGTACAGTTGTACAGCTCAATTCAGGTAATTTTTAAAAAAGAATAATGTAAATAGAACATTACAGGATTAAAAACACCCAACTGGCAGGAGGCAACCAGTTGGCTAGTTACAGACATGAACTTGTGACAATCAAACAATTCCAGCCGTGGTCAAAGTGGAACTCTGTTGGAATGAAAATATTTATGCATGTCTCACACCAGCACTGTCCCTACTCTAATAACCATGGGCAAAAAATAGACTTGGGACACTGTGTGAGCTTGTCACACATTTTAAACTTTTTTATAAGCCTTTTCTTGGACATCACCAGCTGTGTTCTTTTAATTTAAAGCATTGGAATGATTTAGTTCCTCTATGTCTTTGCTGAATTCCAAGAAATTTTTTTTAGGTCATGCTTGATAGTTTAACAATGGCTAGTGAGAGAAAGGTAAATATGACAATATAATTGTAAAATAGTATAACACTATTTAAGTTAAACATTTTTTACCATGAAATACTAGTGAGCAGTTAGTTGTGATTTTACTGTCCTCTCTCACTACCTGTTTGGTATTCTGGTCATAGATCTTTTTGTTAGAAATAATAAAGGAGCAAGTATGGATGCTATACATGTAATTCACTAATTTTTTATAACCATGCAAACACCACAGATAGAGCACTCTTACGTTACTTATTGCCATAATTATAATGAACTAACAATTTGTTATTCTCATGATTAATAACACCTGGGTGTCCTGTGCCTGTCGAATGCATGGTTCATCCTGTGCATGTGTAAATTATTGTTTATTAGGTAGAAAGCTGTTCTAATCTTGAAGCTGGAAGAGATGTGGGTGACGAAAAAACACACGTTAAAACAATGCGGAAACAAGGTAACTACCAACAAATTTGCAACACTTGACAGATTTTGGCTTCAAATCTGACAGTAATGTCGATATTATTAGTGTGGGTAATAGCATGATTTGTAGTGATATTTGGCATAAATACCACAAGTGATGTTTCGAAATTGTTATACATAACAAGTGAAATTTGAGACAACTTTGAAATATCACAGGTGGTATTTATGACATATATCACGTACAAATCATCTTATTATTTGTTTATACTACTACCCACAAAAGGTTTGTAATTTTCACATGTAGGTATTTCAAATTAAGCTGAAATACCACTGCTCTAAGCCAATCAAATTGCAGAAATTTCCCATGTAATCGATATTATTAGTGTGGGTAATAGCATGGTTTGTAGTGATATTTGGCATAAATACCACAAATGATGTTTCGAAATTGTTATACATAACAAGTGAAATTTGAGACTAGTTTCAAATATCACGGGTGGTATTTATGACATATATCACGTACAAATCATCTTGTTATTTGTTTATACTACTACCCACAAAAGGTTTGTAATTTTCACATGTAGGTATTTCAAATTAAGCTGAAATACCACTGCTCTAAGCCAATCAAATTGCAGAAATTTCCCATGTAGTAGTATAATACTGGTAAAAGACTGAGATGAAATTAATAAAGTGCATATTCCTTCCCTGTATTAAGTGGACAGTAGCCAAAGTCCCCAATTTACTGTAAATAAAACCCTTTTAAGCAGAAACATCTATTAGGCCGATGTGGACACCTAAAATGTGGAGAAAATGGTCCTTTCTTCTCTTACAAACCTTTTTTTGCATTTTTCTTTGGCCAGTTTAATGGAATTGTTATATGTTGTCCCTGTACAAGTTTAGTGTCATTAGATCTAACACATGTTGTTGTATTTCTTTAGTTGTTCACAGTGTAGTGGTTATAAGGATGTTGTCAGTTTTAAACAAGCTTCAGAGACTGTGCAGCAATATCTCCTTTAGTCTCAAGAAAACCAGCACAATTCTCAGAATACTGATATTTGTGTTCTTCATATATGCCCTGCTTACAGCTACTGGATATCAGGGTGAGTTGAGTATTACATTTCTAGCTTAAAACTTGGCTTTGAGAAAGCTGGAAAGATGCTGGAGTAGACCTCTAGTGGCAAGTGAAGTCCCTTATTAATCAGCCAAGGAAATATCTTGTCAGAGTAAGACTGGAAGGAGTCATCCATGTTTCAATAAATATTAGTAATAATATAATAATATGCCCTACACCTCCCAGCACCATCCCAAGGGAACTGTTTGAGCATTCTACATAGTTACATGTATGTTTTGAATGAATAACTTGCTCTGTGTGCAGCAAATGCAGACTGGCTAGGAATGGAGGTAAACATTTATGTTGAATGATCACTTTTTCATGTTACTGATATTTTTGTGATGGTAAATCATCAGGTGTTACCTCTGGCTCAGGGATATTTATTTTCTGGCAAGCTGTGAAACAGGCCTGGAGAGCCATGTTTAGTCCCTATCATCTGACATAAAAGGTTCAGCCTCTACTATGCAGCAGAAAGAAGGTGAATGACCATGGTCAAAAATGAGACTCATTTTGAGTGTATTGGTGCAAGAAATTATGCAGAAAAGACTGATAATGCAGTTTGGCTGGAAAATCACTGGTGAATCCTGCAAAACATTTCTAAACATTACTCTGGCAATGTGGTTATTAATTTGTATAGGAAACACAGAGGTTCTTTGAAACTTAGAAATTATAAGTTTCTGTTAACAGGAATCACAGGTAGCCAATTCTCTTGCAAAGTGGTGGTGAAGGAATGTGAAAGTTTTCAACTGGCTAGAAAATGGAATTATTTACATGTACATTGTGCAGTTCAAGACAGTCGTCAAGAAGTAATTCATGAACAATGTTACTCGTCCTGTGAAATTTCCTTAAAGGCTACTCAGCTTTAATAATTTGGTAAATGATAACACTTTTTCTAAACATTTCCGGTATAATTTTTTATTTTAGTTTACACGAATACAACTAATACAAACTACAAACTGTGTTATTTACAAGGCATCGTTTTATCCCAAAATACTTCACACCTGTGGTTTAAATAGTAAAATAGCTTTTGTTTATAATTAAACATTATTGAACAATAAACGGTTGTCTTATTTCTTCTATATTAAATCTATTTTATCAATATAATTATCAAAACTGCTTCAAACTCAACTACAGGGAATGAACAAGTATAATGAACCATATGGCCAACATTTGCTGCACTTGTATTACTAGTCTTTCTATGATATCAAGTCAAATCTTGTTGAAAACTCCCACCTTCTGTGTGTGTTGACGAAAGATACAGTGAATAATTATTGCTTTTTTCGTGAGGTGTACGTTCACCAAGTAAGTCATCGCAAAGTTTTAGAAAAACGTTTCTTGTTAAACAAGAAAGCTCTTTGTTCCTATTTACTTCCGAGAGCAGAGCTGTATTTGCATAATTCTTTCTAATCCCCAGTTACACAACCATTAATAATATTAAAGCAGCTTTTTTCATTGATGATAATCTATTCTGAATCTTTCTTTTGTCTGGTGATTTGATTTCATTAAAATACCTAACATTGCCTGAAGGTCAATCGCAAAATTTTCTAACCACATTCAAAACTATTTCATTATCTTAGAATAGAAATAGGCTGTGTGGCAGATGTTGAAAGGGGTGGGGGATCTAGACAAAGGGAAAAAATAAGGGGGAATGGGTAAAGAGGGAAAAGGAATGCCATCAGAATACTCAGGTTATTGGTGGGCATAATGCAATAACACTGACTCCTAAAGCAGCTAGCGCCCCCGTTTTCCATTTCCCTTAAGTGCATTTCTTCTCCTCCCCTCTGCCCTTTTTGTACCTGCTATGCAGGCCACCTTTTTTAATTCAAGCAAGTCTGGAAGCCACATTATAGAAGTGAATCTCTCTCTCAGAGATCTAGGAGAGGGGGCAGGGGCTTGGGGCCCCTTAATTTTTACCACAGCATCAAGATACTTTGTGTCTACAAATTATTGAACAGTTTTGTTGAACAGACTTGGTTGGATTCTGTATGCATTTTGTTTTAAACCTGATTGTGATCCAGTGTAGTTGACAAGTAAAAATTCTCTCAATTATTATTAGTTTCTGGTTTATGATGCTAAGTATAAAATAAAATATGTAATAATATTATTGTATAAATAACGTTATTAGAGTGATATTACTTTACCAGTGAAATAGGTAGTAGAATATTATGTGCTATTATGCACTAATAATTCCATTGTCTTCTTTTGTTAGACTGTTTGCCGAACTGTGTGGGTCAAGCACCAATTCGCAAGAAATGCTTGCAAAGCAAGGGAAAAAGTTGCCTTTTGTTTACTTGTAGCCATTTTGTGCTAGTTACTATTCTCTGTTTCACAGGTCAAGTAAAATCACTCTGTGAGGTCAAAGTTAGTGTTCCTGTGTCCTTTAACCATTAACAAAAGTATAATGGCAAACATACTGAATAGTGAATCCCTCACCTTGATGATGATGGATACTTATCTAGGTATTAGCTTAATTTAACAGGTTCTCACCAAACGTTATCATTAGTATTTAGATTTCAGTCTGTTGTTCTCCTCCTTGAGTCGCTCAATCTCTTTCACCAATGATTCATTTACTGAATACTTTTCTATGATTCCTTTCACTTCATTCTGTTACAAAAGATGCAAACATTGGCACCACTAAAATAATCAGTCACGGTATAACACAATGCATGTTACCCAGATTTAGGATGAAAATTTTTATTAAATTACAACTTGCTCTAAATAAAGATACAAATTATTGAAAAAAAGACACTTTATAAAATAATTAATATCATTTTACATATATAAAAGTTCACCAGACAGTGGGCAAGCTCTGTGAAGAGAGGGGACAAAATCAAGGCCATCAGGTGCATGACATGGGTGTGAATAGAGAGGGAAAGAGAATGTATACTGCAGACCTACTGTTGATTATGCACTTAAACAAGGCTTACTTGTAGGTTATTCTAAGCATGGTGCATAATGCTTTATTAAAATTGGACCAGTATTATAGGAAGTGTTAAAAGCTCCTATTAAAGGAACCAAGGCAGAGATTGACTGTTACAGCCTATCAACTTCTTGTAGCACCTTTCATGTGGTTTATGGATAATGGATTTGCAACAAAGAAATGATGTCAAAGTTTTAACTCACTTGCTGAATTTGAAACTGCCTCAGCATCTCCACTTGTAAATTAACAAAATCCCTATGAATTGCCACCCTGAAAACAAGACATTGAGATGTCATCATTTAACCCTGAATACCCTAACAAAATATTCATTATTCCTTAAACTGACTTATTTTCAGTGAACCTTATTGAGAGTTTTTTGTACCTGAACTCATCCAGTGATTCATCTATTAAGTTCTTAATGAACTGCACTTGAAATGGTAACATTCCAGCTGCTGTATCACTGGAAGCACCTGCCTCATCCGTCGCTGATTCATTTAGAGGTGCCATCGCGACAGCTCCACTTGGTAAGGGCTCTATACTGTGTTTTATGCTGTCAAATATGAAACTTTGAGCTGTTGATAGTGAAAAAATGAAAAAATTATAAATACCGTATACAACACTTACATTCAGATCAATACAAGTGTACGGCTTAAGTAGTGATGATGATGATGATGATGATGATGATGATGATGATGATGATCACGAATCAAATGTACCTTACTATTATGTTACAGGTGAAAACCATATTCAGGTTGAGTTTTTTTAACCTAGGTTGATTCACATTTTCCTTTGTCTCCAAGCCCTAATTATTCATGAACAAAGGCTAGGAGACAAAAAAAAAGTGAGTCAGAATTAATCTAGGTTAAAAAATTTAACCAGAATTTATTTTAATGTGTAACAGCTACACTGTGGAGGAGGAAATAGTCAGCCTGACACCTAACACATCAAATGTTATAATAATATTATTGTGTTTACCTCCTTGTAACTCTGTTCGAGTGTGAGCTAAGAACTGATCTGCTACTCCTGTTGCTTCTATTGTCCTTCTGGATTGAGAGGGGGATCCAAGTGGGGACTGTTATAACAACACATAGCACATAAGATTGAACATGGTTAGTAGAAACTGGGGATTACTAAATACAAAAAGTGACTTTACATCTGGGTAGATCTTGCCAGAAAGGATCCATTTTCATGTGGTGAACACTGATTCCGATGATGCAAATTCGCACAGAAAGGCAACATTGTATTACTCAATTCACTTCACTCAGAACGGGATACACTCATTGCTCTGGTAGTTTCATTGCTGTTTGAAACAATAGGTTTCTTTTGTTTGTACCACAAGCTAAATGAGGCAAGTGTTTCTTTTAAATGAGTAAATAAACATGGCATGACAAATTTGACCCGACAGTGCAGTGGGCTATATAGGGGCATAGTACCAGCATTATCAATATCGGTCAGTACCTCTTTGCACCTGTTTTACTTACATGTGGTGCTTTTGATGGTCGACTATTTCCTGAGCTAGGTAAAGACCCACTGAATGGCTGTCTGTCATCTCCATCCAACTCTGTAACATGTGATTTCCCCGATGAATACTCTCCTTGAGACTGGTGCCTAGTAGCACTTGGTATCAGGTTCCCACCAAGACTAGCATCAGGTGGGGGTCTGGTGATAAGTTTGGTGTCTGAGTGTGATTTGGACATACCATCATGTGATCGTTCCTTTACTGTACCTACTTCTGTGAGAGACCTAGTAGATGAGCGAGCATATTTTGAGGAAGAGGGTGTTGATACTGATGCTGTCGTCACTCCAAGAGTTCTTGGTGAGTCTGGTACAGTGATGGTTGAAGAGACCGACTGCTGTGGCTCAGTGCTTGAGGCTAATGATAAGTTGCTCCTTATTGGTGAGAACACTCCTGATCCTTTCAAAAAAGAGCAAATTAAAAAGTAAATAATATTAAATAAGGGTTTTCATTTATAGCGAAAGCTGTTGTGGTCAACCCATGGGGTCCAATGGAGTTTATGGTTCTGCACCTAAAAGTATTCCTTTGTTTCTCTACCTGGTTGTGATAGTATAAGTCTATCACAGTATGGCCCAAGCATCATCATTGTGCAATGTAAGACACATTTAACAGGAAACCCCCACAGCTGGTAGATTTTGTAGTTGGGCCACTGCATGGATAAATATACACTGTACTTGAAGATATACTTGACTTAATGGTTATGGGCTAGTACATCTTCAGTACCAACACTAAAAAATTTATTTTCTTGGCACCCTGATATTGTGAGCAACACCCTGAGTGGGTGCTTATAAAAAGAGGTAGTTTGGACTAAAGTCAAAGCTGTACTTGAAAAAAAATTAAAAAGATATCAATAATTTTGAGTAAACCTGACCTGAAATCAATGACTAGTTTATTATGAAATTTGGAGTTTGCCTCAAATTTCGGCAGTGTTGATAGTGTTAATAAGGGTTACAAAACAGAATCTTCACTGTCACAAACGGACCGCTGAAGAATTAAATCTAAGTTTTTCTAGAAATTTGTGGTGGTTAATTAAGTTGTTGAGCCTTTTTGATTTCAAAGGAACTGAAGAGCTTATCTGAACTGTGTACAGTAACTAGAGAGCTTGCAAAAATCAGCATTATTCAGAAGCTGGATAGCTAGTGAGAACACAAAATCCTTCAACCCGCAACTGAGATATGATGCTCAAAAAGGAATTAAAAAGGCACTCAGTTGAAAGAACCCAATGAAAAATAAAAATACATAAAAATGTCTACCTGTATGGCATCTATAGTACACAGCTGTTGACCTACGTCGACTCATAAGTACACTTTGCTACTTTCCCAAAAGAGATGGTTTCTTGAGAAAAAAACTTAGAAGGCTGAATACCTTTGTGTTGTGTCTGGCATAAATGCAATATCTCCACATGAACTATCCACATGTGAGTAACTGTACATAGTGATAACCTTATTCATGTTTTATAGACCCTCAATTAAAGAAATCCATCATACACTTTAAGGGTCAGAATAATAATTTGTGTTTATTGAACCAGACACTTATGTAAAAATTAGTTCTAGATATGAATGTTAATAAAATATGCTGTAGTTACCATGCTTCTCTCAGAGTTAGTTTGAGTCAAAATTAGGGACTGATGGTAGTAAGGAACAAATGAATGCTTCTACGCACAGCAAGATAGAAGCTCCATCAAGTAATATTATTATAGTGTTGTGGTGAAAACCTTTGCTTAGAACAGCAGGCCAATATCTTACATGCAGCCATACCCTCTTTGCTTTCCTCAACTAATTTTATTACTCTACATTCTGCACTCTAGGTTATGTTTCATAGCACATATAATTTTATCTGAATACCATTTTGATAATAATAAATTCTTATCTTAATGAACTTTGAAAAGGGGAAAAAACAAAGAAAATCATGGTACTGAAAACAAAGCAGTCACCAACTGTGACCACCACACAATCAAGAATGAAACAACCACTATGTTCAAGGTACCTGTATGAACCTGTTGAGACAAAGTAAAGACCCTACAGTTTCTTACCAGTTATGCATAATATAGACTATCGCCAAACAGGTAAGGGATATTTTTCCCTTTTCCTTTCCAGCTAATGTGCGAAAAAATAATAAATTAAACAGTTTTAATTGATTTCTATTATTCCTTTTATTGACACCAGTACAAGTATATTATTATCTACGTATATTTTTAAAAAAAAAACCAGATTGTCTTAGTTCAATTTTCTAATAACACATGTGATTTTTAAAATATGCAAAGCAAGCAAGACAACATGGGCAATTCCACCGTTATGGACATTACACTCAGAGAGCATTTTTTAACTTTTATCTCCTGTCCTGATCACAATATGCAGTATATTGCTGTTTTGTATCAACCACATTGCACCATAATGACTTGCCTTTTGCTCAATAAAAAAATACTCGGAGAAAAAATTTTTAGCTCCCTCTGATTTTGACTGAAAGGCCTGTTACGGACATTACAGCTAAAACAACCACCAATTTTAATCACGACTTTTAAGGCTCAGTTCCTGTGATTTATGAAACATTTGAAGGAAACAAATTCATATTTTTTATTGGCAAATGCTCAAAGTTTTCTTCAGTTACATTAAATTTCTCTGAGGTCTACCCTTACTGCTTTGGTTCCCTAAAAGGTTGTGTTATGGACATTACACCAAGTGTTACGGACATTACTGTCTGTGAATTTTTTCTTGAAAATTATATTATGTGTACTATGATGCTAAAAAAATTGCTTATTTCATTTATTTTTATGTGTTAAGTTTACCATCAGCAATAAATAGAAGCCCTGAAAATTAAATGAAAACAAAAGCACACAAAAGCTGTATTGTAATTATGGCTGGTCAGCTCATTCCTTTTCAGAGCATGCTCTTAACATTCTTGGAAAGAAAACCACCAACCACTAGTTTTAATCAAATTATGACATCTCATTGTACTCTGAAAGTTACATGAACTGACCGACTGGCCCAGCCAGGATGACGTTGATGATGTGCACATCTCTTGTGTGTTTTACGGCCCTGTCACCCTAGAGAGTGCTTGCCCATTTGCTGTTCCAAAACAGCAAAACATTGAAAAAATGTTTAAAGAAATTAAAAAGCAAAGAAAGTCTCATTAAGATGCTACACAGCTGATCAGTTTTTAGGTGAATAAAACAATTTTGGTCTTTTAAGAAGAACATGGTTTCCCACTCAGCACTGTTTGAATTTCTTGTTATGCAAATCTGAAACTTTTGTTTAGCTTTAGCATTATTTCATTCATTGTGGATAAATTATAGAGCTCAGTTGGTACCCTAACTGTCACTTGGTTCAATACCTTTGGATATTTGTATAAAGATGCTTAAGAATGCTCATTTTTCCTTAGAGACTTGTATTGTTATGGACATTACGTTATGGACATTACCTATCTTTGAAATAGTTTCTATGATTAAAAAGCCTACTAGAAATAAAAAGCTTATCAGACAAATGATGGCACTAACAAATCCAAGGAGCAGGAGAAGTTGTTTTGATTAAAGAGTTAAATCCTGTCTGACACAAAGAAAGAAGTGAAATTTTTGTGATGGACATTACTCATCTACTTAGATATTTTCAACTAACCAAAAATGGGGAAAAATTATTGAAAACCATCAAATTTTTTTCTCGTGTGAAAAAAAGGCTTATGGTCTAATTATACCACAGTTTCAGTGGACTGGATTGATTTTGACATTTTGACAAATTGTTCCTTAACTTGCACCTGTGGGTCCCACGCTTTCCTTGTTTATATGACCTATTGAGTAGTAGACCCCCTGCGGAGTGCAGAAGGGCGAAAACAGAAATGACCTGTATGTTTTTAATACAGTGATGTGTCTTCTCTTTACTGGCACAGAAATTAATTCCAATATCCTTCTTTTAATAATTTTTGATTTTTCACTTCTCATGTGGAATTGCCCACATTTGTGTCTAATTTCAAAGCAACTGTAAGGCAGCAAACTTTACCTATTGTAATTAATTTAAAAGTTGCTTAAATTATTAATCATCATAAATGTGACTTACCAAAAATTAAGTGAACATAAAACAAGACGTACGATTCAAGAAATGAGGATTCTAATGTAGTGTATATTCACCAAAGTAAAAAATTTCTTTTTGTAAAACCCTAAGAAATCCAATAGTACTTCACAAAAGTGCGGCCATAAAGGTTTCACTTGAATGGTAACACCATAGGGTTTCTTCCACAGGTTTAAAAGATCTCAGAGAGTGGCAAATTATGACAATAGATATTGTACAAAGGTGCCCAATAGGAGTGGTAGTGAAATATTCTTACCATCAGGTGGATTGTTTTCCTTGAAGTTATTTGATCCAGTAACAGGAGCCTGTCTGCTGTTGACCACGGGAGTCTTGACTGGAAGATTTTAATAATATTATAAGTTAAAAGTTCACCTGCTGGACAAAACAAGATGAAGATGGTCCTAGCCCTCCCAAATGGTAGGACTGCATTTGCCAGAAACTGGTCCTAATATTAAAATAACCAGGCCTGGATTTTTGCCGGGAGCAGGGTCATAATGGTTTTTGCTCAAGTCTCTTTGTTTTATCCTGCAGTATTGTAATTTGGTTTGCCCAACAAAGTGGTTTCTAGAAATTTCGGAAAATTATGGTTCTGTGTTGCATTCTTCTTTTCTTTTACACTTTTCTTTACAGTTTACTGACCCCCTTTATTCCCTTCCTACTTTCAGGTTTACATTTGGGTGAAGGACCTTGTATAAAAATGTTATAAACCCTTTCAAAAAATGCTTATTAAAATAACATACTTTCTCTAAGGGGTGAGAAGATGTCCTCTGAATCCTCTTTTACACCATTTTGTTTTATTACTGGTGTATGTGCAGTGTTATCTTGCTGTTCAGGCATAGGTGTTGGCGAGGATGGAGGGGGGATAGATGTGTCATCAGGCTTGTCTGATGGTTTTTGTGGTCTACCACTAAGCACAGCACTTGATCTTGTACCTTTGCTGGTGGCTGTAGGTGCATTATTAACCTGTGGAGAAAAACAAATGATGATTATTTGAATGGTCTAGTAACTACTGAGTTGCTAACTCAGTTCACATACGTGAGACCGACTTTGTCTAGTAGTAAAAACAAACAAACTGGTGGCCATACAAATCAACATGATTCATGATTACAAGAATGTAGGCTGATCCGCTATGATTTATTCATATGTTGGTACATGTAGTTCTTATTTGTTTTTGATCGTTGGCTGCGTGACCTCCAATTTCAAGTGCTTGAGCTTTCCACTTTGTGTTCTAGTTCCTAATGGAGAATTGATACCATCTTCAGGTATCTTCTGTTACAATTTTTGTAATTCATAAATTTCAAGTGAAACATATTATAATTTTATATTCACTTAATAAATCTCCACATTCAATCATAATTCTAGTCTGTTACTCCCTTTTTTGCTACCGGTAATGCATGTATCTAAATTTAATAAGCCCACCTCTTTATCAAGCCCTTCTTAAATGTGCTTGAAAAAATAAACTCCCTGGGCACTAAATTACCAGTAACAGTTAAATTGAAAAGTTTAATGAGAACAAGAAAACAAAAACTAACCTTGCTTAAAGACCGGAATGCAAGTGATTGAACAGATGTTTTGTGTGCTACTGTTGTGGAGACAGGTGTGGACCCACTGCGCAAATCATATATGTATATTTTACCTACAACAGGTAATAAAAAAAAATCTGAATCATAATTCTACTAATGTCAATAAGCCATACAGTGCTGTAGACTAAGATACATTCATACACTGATGCAAACAATTGACCCAAAACTTTGTCCACTATGGTGGCAAATACATGTATGAGTCAAAATAATTTGTTTTCACACTTTGAAAGGACAAAGAGATCCCCAGTTAATAAACTGTCAAGGGTGGAGGCCTTTAGTCACTGTGGAACAAAAAAATTAATAAGTTTCATTTCTAACTTAGTCCTGACCTCAAAATCTAAAGCTAAACATGTTACCAACTTGAACCACGGTGTTTCCACTTACAGCAGAAACAGACTGACTTTATGGTTTAATTTTACGGCTAACTTATTAGTTCATTAAGTATGATTATTAACTGGATCAGAATGCACCTTGGATTTATGGGTAAAAAAAAGCTTTAGTAATAAAGAAAATGCAATCCAACATACTAAAGAAAATGTAAATTTAGTGCAAGAAATCCATAGTAACACACCTCTAGTTGATCCAACTGCAAGAGTTGCTCCGTCAGACATAAAATCAACAGAGGTCAAAGGTGCTTCTGCTGTCATAACTTTTACTGATCTAAGAACACAAAGGTTTAAATATTAGTAAATAGCTGGCAAGTAGCAAGGAAGTCCTAGCTAAAGTAGCTCCAAACAATGTACGTTGACTTTTAACTGACTATTACATGATTTTGTTTATGTTTTATGTCTGTACATTGCAGGACTGTCATGAAGGGAAGGGGATTTTCCATGGCTGGTATGAATGTTACTCCCGCCTACTTTAGTAGGAAAATAGAAGAAAAATAGAACCAAACAATATCCCTAGCTGTTTGATTCCCTGCCTACTTGTATCATTTACCCGGCCAACTTGAAATTTTAATGACAGCCGTGGTGCATTGTCTACATCCACCAACAATCAGTTACATGGGACTTCATTGAATAATGTGTTTTCCTTTTTTTGTTTGTGTCATGAATCAATCACCACTTAAGCCAGTCATAATTTTGTAGGCATATGACCTCCTTTTCTGTCTGTTTCTGTGACATCAGCTAGACCACAACCTAACTTTTAGCCCTGCATTAAAATGCTTTTAAATGACTGATTTCAATATTTACTAATAAGCAAATCCTGGCAAGGACACCTGAAACAGGAAAAATTGGAACTTGAAATATCACAGAACCTTGAGCATTACTTTTATGCTCAAACTATGTTTCAGACTTAAGGAATTTATTATAGCTAGATATCTCAGGTAGTTGTGGTGAAATATATTACATACATAAACAAAATACTTACTTTTTGCCCTGTACATCATAAAACACAATTCGTTTGTCCAGACCCACACTACAGAGAAGCATGTCATTCATAGGGGAGAAACTAAGACCTGTGGCAGGGGCCTTGTGATCTGATGCAAATGATGTGAAAAGTTTGCGAGTGTTAGAGTCCCAAAGATTAAGAGCTGAATCATCACTGACAGCACCAAGTAAACTCTTTTTAAAGTGTGAAAACTGAATGTCCCGTACTGCCTGCAAAAGATCAATGAAGATACAAGATCAAGTACTTAAGAATCAATAATTTTTGACATTTTTAACGTACACTGTAATTAACTCCCAATATAATTTCTGAAGAAAATCTCAACTTACTGTTTAATAACTGTAAGGACATTAAAATACCTGAGTTTTAACAAGTCTGAGAGGATCTGAGGCTTGTCCTGATATGACATTATGAAGCAGTATATCACCATTCACAGAGCCAGATGCAATGGATGTGTCATTCCAGTTAAATGTAACACAGGATACTACATCTTTGTGATCCTAACAAAAAAAATAAACAGCTGAAATGTAAACTACCATGACAAATGAGAAGAATTATAAGTTAACGAAAAATTGATACAAACACAAATGCAATTATCTTGGGTCTGTACAGACCTCCGCATTGTAGAGGCACCAATTACTATGCAGAGCTGGAAAAAGAGTTCAATGAATGCCTTATGTGGGCCACCATGCAATTCTCTACGGTTATCATCATGGGAGATTTAAACATGGATAAACTTAAGGTAAATGGAAGAGAGGCAAAGCTGCTGAGAGACATTGAGGAAGTCTTTGAGCTGACATGTCTTGTTACTGAACCCACACGAATTACGGATACATCGCAGACGCTCTTGGACGTACTCCTGACAAATCAACCGGATCTTTTTAAAAATGCTGGAGTCAGTGATATTGGCCTGAGTGATCATTGTATGGTATATGGTTTTCTCAAGGAAACTGTCAAAAAACACACAGCAGACATCATTACTTGCAGAAGCTTTAAAAAACTAGATATGGAAGAATTCAAAAAAGATCTGGAGGAAGCAGTATGGTTTGAACAAAATGTGACAGAAGTTGATAAGCTATATGATAATTGGTACACGGAATTAATGAGGATTGTGGATAAACACCTGCCATTAAAGAGAGTTAAAGCACGGACGATAGACATACCATACATGACGGGTGAGTGGAAGGAAGCCATCCGGAAAAAGAGAAAGTATGCCAAGAAATTCAGTCAAAGCAAAACCAAAGAAAACATGGAGTTAATGAAGAAATGGCGCAATAATGCCACACGATTAAGAAGAAAGGCGATCAAGAATTATTGGAATGCCATATGTGAGGACATGAATAATAACTCAAGAAAATTCTATAACACCTTTACTCCGTTCCTCAGGACCAAACCAAAAAAGGACAAAAGTTTAATCTCTCTTAATATCGAAGGTGTTACACACCAGGACCAGAGGCTTGTGGCACAAGAATTTACCAACTACTTTTGTTCGATAGCTGATCACATTGGTGGGACTGACGTAGGGACTCTAACAGAGGCTCTATGTTATCAACATCATAGTGTCGCGAGCATAAATGCCAGACACGATCCAAATACATTCAGTTTCAGAAGACTGGATAGGAATGAGGTCCTCGCAGCACTGAGAGAAATTAATCCCCATAAAGCAACAGGATATGATATGTTACCTCCAAGAGTACTTAAAATGACAGCAGAACTGCTAGCAACACCACTGACTACTATATTTAATCAGGCTATTGAGGAAAATCGTTGGCCCAGCGCCTGGAAAAGAGGAGAGTGGATCCCGATTTATAAGAAGGAAGACCCCTTAGATAAAGTTAATTACAGATCAGTAACCGTGCTAACTGCGGTTGATAAAATCTTTGAGCAGCTAATATGCAAACAACTAAGTGAAAAGTTTGAGCCAATTTTCGATACCTTTTTGTCAGCTTACCGCAAACACTTCAGCTGCGAAACGACCTTGATACGCCTTACTGAAGATTGGAAGCATGCAGCAGACAAAGGGCATGCATCAGTGATATTATCCACGGACATGAGCAAAGCTTTTGACTCATTACATCCAAATTTGTTACTGGCAAAGTTAAAAGCCTATGGGCTGTCTGACCCCGCTTTGGGATTAATGCGATCTTATTTTGATGATCGGGAAAACAGAACAAGAGTTGGCAACTACACAAGTGATTGGAAAGCTGTCAAACGAGGCTGCCCGCAAGGGTCATCCTTGGGACCGCTGTTGTGGAACGTGTATCAAAACGATTTATTCTACACTGGCGTTAAATCTCAGTTGTCTGCCTATGCCGATGACCATCAGATCTACTGCTCCAATTTGAATCTGCACTCTGCTATAGATAGAATTAAGGAAGATGGGGAAGAGACATCGAGGTGGTATAAGACAAATTTTCTGCAAGGCAATTATAGCAAATACCAAGCAATGGCTATAGCAAGGGACACACAACAAATGGAGCTAGTGATTGATGATTGCAGAATTAACTTTACCGATGCATTCAAACTGCTAGGCATAATTATTGATAAGGACTTGAATTTCTCGCAGCATATATCAGAGGTCTGCATAAAAACCAGTAAAATGATTGGTGTTCTTCAAAGGCTAAAGAATCTGATCCCGATGAACGCCAAACTACGGATATATAAAACTGCAGTTTTACCCCATCTCACATACTGTAGCTTGGTGTGGCACTTTTGTCGAGCAAGCGACAGAAACAAGCTAGAGAGAATTAATGAGAGAGGACTACGTACAGTCTTCAAAGATCGAGTCTCTCCTTATGGTGACCTTCTTACACACGCTGGAATGACTAGTCTATATAACATGAGATTACAAGATATCGCTATCTTTATGTTCAAAATAAGGAATAGATTACTGCCTTACAACATACTAGAACTCTTCTCGTCATCGTCTTCGAATTACAACCTGAGGAACTCGGACTTTCACGTTCAAAGGGTAAAAACTGTTAAATATGGAAAGCATTCCCTCAGATTTTTTGGGCCATTTTTATGGTCAAAATTGAGTATGAAGGACAGAAACGAGACCTCCCTAAGTAGGTTTAAAGCAAATATAAGGAGAAAAAAATCTGAGCAAATTGGTTAGTGATAACGCATGCAAAGGGTGCCACCTGTGTGACTCATAATTCATAAACAGGAAACATCATAACTGGTAGAGTTGATATATTATGAAATTGTATACATAGTTTTTTTCTTATTCATTACATAGGTGTATTTTCGAAGCATATTGAATATCGTGTATCTTTTAAGTAGTTTTTAGAATAGTTAAATCTTATTGGCTTATAGTATCATGTATATATATTTCTTATTAATAAGTTATTTAAGTAGTGTCCCCAATTAGTAGGCCTGACGGCAAGCTAGAAGACTAGACACTTAAATAAAGTTGTTGATTGATTGATTGATTGAATAAGTAACTTCTACTTCTTGATGGGACATAAAAGAAAAAGACACTACTATTTCAGTATGCAAGGTGTTCATGAGGCATCAGGGATGGGAGAATTCTGTTTGCTATGCAGAGTTTGGCTAACATTCCATAGCCTATGTCTATTTTTCATTCAGATGTGGAGCCTCTTTCAAAATATTTTCCTGTAAAGTTACACCTTTCCCCTGCTACTAGAATTCTTAATGAAAAACCTGAGTTATAAATCTTGCAAGGTACCATAAACTTCCTTTTCCATGATTTTACCAAACGTTTTTTTCATGGTCCTAGAATTTTGGTTTTTGGGTAATCTTTGAACAATAAACAAACCTTATATGTTTTCTTTATACTTTTTGTCTTCATGTCCCAAATATTAAGAGTCTTGCCTTTTCCACCAGTCAGCAAATATCGAGAAGATGAATTGAAAGCAACGCAGGTATTTCCTTCCTGAAATTAATGATAATATTATATTTATAATTCACAGTACCTAGTGGGTAATTTTAGAAATAATAACAATGGAAACATGACAGGATGCAAGCTTTTCATCCACAAAAGTGAACACCAGTGTTTCAAGTAAAACCATCATTAGAAAATCAAAAGAATCTTCCAAAATGTTAATACTAGCTGCATAAATTACAACATTAAATCGCTGGACAGGTGCACCCTGCAAATGGGAGCAGCTCCTTTTTTTCAAAATAATGACATATTTAATACTTGAAGATAATTTTTTGCAAACATTTTTGGCAAAAGTAACAGCATCATATCATTTCTGAGAAAAAGAAAGTTCAAGGTTGTGCGCTCAGAAAAAATTGAAGGGGCCAGACTGCCCAATTCTCTGAACCTGTGAACTCCAGAGTACCCAGCAAAGACGTTCTATGAATAAACTAAGATTTCCTTATCATCTAAGGGTAAAAGAAAGGTGAAAAGGGCCACTGATGGCATCACCGCTGCTAAAGCACAGCCCACAAGATATGGTTTGCTAATTTTGCACAATAAAGCAGTTCAACCATTGTTTCAGTACAAAGTCAGAATTGCAAGGATTATTTTGAGCTTCAGTATTTCATATTGTAAACAAAAAAGTAAAGATAAATTTTGATTCACTTTTAATGTCCCACGTATTTTTGGCCAATAAAAACATTATTTTGTTCTAATGCAGCTTTATTGATTGTATTTTTCTGTATTAATACCACAATGGTACAACCTTGAATTAACCTTTTTGATACACTTACCCCAGCATTAATCTCACTTGTATCATACACATCCCCCTTTATGTATGTGACAACAACTTTGTCATTGGCAGCACTTGCCAGACATTGACCTGATGTTGGTGTCAAGGAAATACAGCTGAAAAAATGTGTTAAATTTGGAACATAATGTATAAAACATAGGCTTGATTAGCTTTACATTTTTTTAAGAACTTTGTCCCAGTTACACCATGGACTGGATTGATCTACAACATTGTAATAGGTTATGGGAAAGAAATGCAAGGAGTTGATGAAGATATTTCCAAATGGTAAGAAAATGAAATATTTCATTCACAAGAGACCATGGTTTCTTTTGTTATTAATGTTTCCACAGCAAGAAATTCACATTTTCAGTAGGCTATGCCTTTTTGCCTCATTATTTTTAAAGTACAAGATGCTCAAAATAAGGATGTAAGCATAAGTTTAACTGAAGCCAAATATTTCAATGTCGTTGAAATTTTAACATCACGAGATGGTCCAAAAGCAATTTTTGTAATAGGTAAAAGAGAGGGTCAGACTTCTGTATTACCCCATACATTTATTATGCATGCATACAGCAATTTCATACTTTTTCTCACAAATAGTTTAATAGGTATAGAGTCAAAACATGCATGCATAATTAACGTATGGGGTTGCACGAAAAGAGAAAGCTGTGTGGTGC